CCAACATCCAAGGATTTTACAGCCTAGATCCTCTCCCACATCTTTCATTCTATCTTTCCAGAGGCAGATGCGTTACTTTGTTCCAGCATAACAGATACTAGAAATAAAAACAAATGTACTGTACAGTAATATCTTAAACTCTGTTTTCAGTGTGATTTTTCTTCAGACACATGATTCCACATGCTGAGAATCAGATTATATACCAAACACCATGCTGAATTAAATCTATCAAGTTTTTATGGTGACAGAACCTTTTTTGTTTGTTTCTGCTTTAGAAAGATCTTTTCAATCTAAATGCTGTGGTTACTCCCAGACCTCCCTCTTCATCCTTTATTTCTTAGAATGTGTTTTAAATTTCAGATTCTAAATACTAGATTAGAAGGCCTGTTAGCTATCTTATAATTTGCTCTGACAGCTTTTCTAACTATTGTTGTTGTTGTTTAGTTGTTAAGTCTTATCCGACTCTTCGTAACCCCATGGACCAGAGCTCGCCAGGCCCTCCTGTCTTCCATTGCCTTCTGGAGTTGGGACAAATTCATGTTGGTTGCTTCAATGACACTGTCCATCCATCTCATCCCCTTCTCCTCTTGCCTTCGTACTTTCCCAACATAGGGGTCTTTTCCAGGGAGTCTTCTCATGAGATGGCCAAAGTAATGGAGCCTCAGCTTCAGGATCTGTCCTTCCAGTGAGCACTCAGGGTTGATTTCTTTCAGAATTGATAGGTTTGTTCTCCTTGCAGTCCACAGGACTCTCAAGAGTCTCCTGCAGCTTCACAATTCAAAAGCATTAATTCTTTGGTGGTCAGCCTTCTTTATGGTCCAGCTCTCACTTCCATACATCGCTACTTGAAAAATCATGGCTTTGACTTTGCGGACCTTTGTCGGCAAGGTGATATCTCTGCTTTTCAAGATGCTATCTAGGCTTGTCATTGCTTTCCTCCCAAGAAGCAGGCGTCTTTTAATTTTGTGGCTGCTGTCACCATCTGCAGATCATGCAGGCCAAGAAGGTAAAATCTGTAACTGCCTCCATATCTTCCCCTTCTATTTGCCAGGAGGTGATGGGGGCCAGTGACCATAATTTTAGTTTTTTTGGTTTTTTAGATTATACTTGGCTAGCCCAGTAGTTTTTCCTACTTTCTTCAGTTTAAGCTTGAATTTGCTGTAAGACGCTGATGAGGAGAGCCACAATCAGCTCCGGATCTTGTTTCCAACAATAGGCTTTAATTATTGTATATAAATAAACGAACTAAATTGTAAAAAAAAAAATCCAAAACAAAACCAAGTGGTGCTTAGGGAAAGTGTGTAAAACAGCCCAACCAAGCGAATACTCTCTTTGGCTTGCTAACTATTCATTGGCCAAGCCCCCAAACCCCGCCTCCCTCGTTTCCCTCCCAAACCCCACAGCCGCGCTCGCACAACGGGCTTCCGTCCCGCCCGCCTCCTGACGGCTTTTGTACGTAGGGAACCGGAAGTCCTCTTTGCGCGGCAACTCCGAACTTCCGCCTTGCCGTTTCCGGCGCGGCGAGAGCGGTTTTTCGATCCTGTCAAAGGCAACTTTTACCGCGCGAGTAACGGCAGCCTTTTGGGACGGGTTTCAAGTGGAAGCCGCCCTTTCCCGCTCCGGGTTTCTCTTGCCCTCGGCCCGGTTTCTTCGGCAGGCGACTCCTCGAGGTATGAACCCGGAAGCGGTTCCCGCTCGTCCTTGCTTCGGTTTCTCTCCCCCTCCCTCAGCTCCACATTGCCGCCCTTTCCACCCGTCCTGTGTTGGAGGCAACTCTCGCCGTCCCCCCCTCCTCCCCGATTTCTTCCCTCTTTCTCTTTTTTTTTTAACCGCCCCCTCAGGTGGGAAAGCCTTAATTACCGCTTCTTTGGTTCCAGACTTCGTCGTTATTGTCGTTTCTTAAAGAAGTGAAATAACTGAAATACTTATTAGACTCTACTTGGTATTCTCAGTTGGTGTTTTGGACTACAACGCTCATCAGCCCCAGCCAGCATGGAAAACAGTCCAAAAGGATGGGGGATGTGTATTTCAAAACATCTGGAGGAGGACCTTTGCATTGCCTTATTCAGTCATAGTCCTCTCTTATCGTCTGCTCCCTGCCTTTCAGATCCTGTGAACTGTAACTGCTGTCAGCCTCAGGCAGGGTGACAAATGGCTAGTTATCCTTTGAGGTGTAGGATCTGGAGAGTTTTGGGATGAGGGAAGTTATGAATGGGAAGTCTCCAAAAACAACTTGCATTGGCTTCTCAAACAACTATTTGAAATGAGGTTTTTTTTTGAGGTGCTGAGGAAGTGGCATTATCCTCTGACTAGTGAGTCATTCTTGGGGGAGAAAAAATCACATATGCCATCCTAATAAAATCTCCATTTGAAATTTTACAGTGCTAGCCTTCCTGTTAAAAGGGAGCAAGCTTGCCAAAATAAGTAATAGTTTGTAGTGGATTACA